ACCAAAAAGTCCTAGATGATTTCACATCACACAGGGATCACCTCTGGAAACTGTGGTGTCCCGTGGGTCACAAGGAGCAACACAAGAGCCAAAGCTTCCTTTCTCTAGTATTAGCAGGCTGATGCAGAGAATACAACAATGCTAGTTAAACACCTAACTGACATCTGAGCGAGGATAAGGCAAATATCAATCCGATGGGGCTCTGTGTTGGCTAAACACCAAAGCAGGAACATAGCCACATAAGGACAATAGCTCAGGATGACTCAACTTGGTCTCCTTGTTGCAAAACTTGGGTTCGAAAGTGGTGACTGTCCTCAGCAGTCTAAGTATCTTCAGCCTGTGGCTTAAGATGGATGTCAGCCAGCAGATCCAGACGCTTGAATACATTGTGACTACCCAGAGTGTCAACTGACAACTGGATACATTGTATCTAGCTGGTGTGCCAATTTGGCTTGGTCATTAGCTACTAATAGAACTGGTTAAGGGCATTTCTAAGGAGGGTTTGTAATGGTGTTCTCAGACAAAAAGGGAAGAAGAGGGAGTGCTGTAGGCGGCTTGCACTAATATGTGCAATCCCACTGAGGATCAGAACTCAATGCTCACTAGAAAGCTGAATAAGGAAACAGGTAGAGTGAGTTAATTCCTTGTCTTCCTGGGTACTTGAGCGGAGACAATCTTCCATAACCCTGTCCCACTATGCACACTACCACCTTCTCTAGTCTACAGATATACACAGCAGACCATCTAAACTTCACAACCTCCATGATATGAGTCAATGTTTTATGAAAAATAAATCTTCTCCATATAGACATAGATATAGAGAACAGAACCATGTCTATCTTTCACTTTGCATTGGTTCTATTGTTCCAGAGAATCCTAACTAATATACCTGGCTTTTTTTCCCCTGAGACAGGTTTTTGTTGCTGTTGTTGTTTGTTGATGTTGTTGTTATTGTTTTTCCCCTGTGTAGCCCTGGCTTTCTTGGAACTCAGTCTATAGACCAGGTTGGCCTCAAGCTCGAAGATCACATTATCTATGCCTCCCAAGTGCTGGGATTAAATTGCATGTACACCAATAACCTGAACTATTTTAAAGATAGAGATAATAATAGAGATGGATAATAATTATCCATCATTAACACCTCAGCATGTTATAGCACCTGGCTTGTCACAAGAAGGTTGATAAGGACAAAAAGGGGACTGGAACATCCTGTCATCATTACAAAAATTAGTAATGTGCAGAATAAGATCTGAGACTATGCTCTCAAGAGAAGTTATACAACTTCCAAGCCTAGCTCTATATAATCAGACCACTTCCCACAAAAGCACTGTAGAGAAAAGGCTGTTCGTCTTTAGAAGAAACTGAGCTGGGAGGAGGGAAAAACGAGGGGTAGAAAAAGAGGTCAGGAGAACTGAGGGAATAGAAAGTGGCACCCAGCTGGAGAAAAAGGCAGGAGACAGACAAGGCATCATCAGGAAGGTCTAGAATTGGAAAGCCCCGTGTTCTCATGTGAAAGCCACTATAGCTAGCAGCTTGATCTCAGGCCATGCAATCTCCCCCAGACTCCAGCCACTTCACTAGTAAAACCCCAGCCATGGTCTTGGGAATTCCCTAAGGCATGGGAACAACAGCTTTTCCTTCAGTACTGCAGGCACCCCGCACGGCGGCATGCCGCAGCATCTCAATAAATACTGAGCAATAAAAAGCAAACACTTGTGCAATAAAAGGAAGCAGACAGGATGGAAAGAACTTTATGAACTGTGAAGTCCTAAGCAGATGGCAAGGCATGCTTTGCTTCTGGAAGCCAGCAGGGTAGCCGTTGTTTGGAAGGAGTAGACTTCTGTATCATCCTCATTTTCAAAGCCAAAGTCAGCATTCCACAATTTAGCCAACCTAAGAGTCCCCAAGAATGTCCTTTGAGCCTGTGCTGATGCTAAAGGCTCAAGTTAGTGAGAGAAGATCTAGAGCCTTCCACTAAATATGTATTATCCTGGAAGAAAGGCTGATAGCAAAGAAAAATGAGCAAAAGAAAAAAGTCTGCTGATACAGTAATAACCCCAGCAAATTCCACAACCAGGCCTTTAACTCTAATAATAATCCTGTTTTAGTTATAGAGTTATAGCTGGGATGCGTGTTCCTTTGTGTGGCCAGCTGCTACAGCAATGCTCACGAATGCTCGTGTCTTCAGGTGCAGGATCAGCTGCCGCTCCTGCCACTACTGAACCCATCATGATGGGTATCACCAAGTAAGGCATGTGACCAGACATATTCAGTTGTCATCAGAAGAGATAAAATTAAGCAATTTTTTTCCCTAGATATACAAATACCTCCTCCTCTTCATTCACTCTCATGATTTAACATTCATTGAACTCTGCCTTGAGTACTAAAAATATACTCTAGGTCAAATGCAATGCACCAAAACCTCAATATGAAACCACAAGAAACAGTAATAGACAAATGGGCCAATACTGGAGGTGGTTTGAAAAGACGTTGATGTCAAGAATAGAAAGCAAGTGGGCCAAGGGGTCGCTTTACTACTGTGAGCACTGACTACAGGAAACAACCTTTACTCATGTACCTTGTGGCTAATGAATAGTGGTGACGCAAGTCTATAGGCAGGAAGGCGGAAGCCCACAGAAATATTATCATTAGCACCAAAGGAGGCCAGTAAAGGCATAGTAGTCAAAGAACTAAGAACAAAGGACAGGGAAAGAAAAGCCGGAGGAGCCCAAAAGTACAAGGGAAGGGACAACAATAAAAGTCATCTGTGACTTTTGTCTGGTTTCCACACAACACCTTAGTTCTGATAGTTTACTAATAAAAGTGATTCATTCTAGCTCATGGTTCTAGATACTAGAAAGCAAAAGACTAGAGAATTATATCTAATCAGTTTCTGGAAAGCATCTTGGGGCAGGAAGGGAAGTGAGTGCATCCACAAGAAGAGAAGGGGAGGGGGTCATGAATCAAGAGTCATAATAGTTACTCTATTGTATTTTAAACAGGCACTGGGTTGGGCATGAGGACACTATTCATGAGGGCTTCACACTTCACCACGGTGCGGTCCCTAATACATATCATGGATATAATGTTACAACTCATGAGCTCTTAAGGTACTCATCCAAAGCACCAACCAGAATGGCAGGAGTCAATCCTATTGCATGCCTAAAGTGGTGCCAGGCCGAGGGCTTGGGGCTGAGTGAGAACAACACTGAGGTCAGGAGCCAGGCTGGCTAGAGATCCGAAGGAGTCTCAAAGAATGACCCTTCGTATTCACAGCCATTTCCACCTGCCAGGTGTCTTGTCATTCTTGTAGCTGTCTCTAACCAAGTGACCACTGTCTATTTTTCAGGTGAAAAAGGAAAGATTGAGTTGTGTGCAATCCAGGTATGTCTGGCTCCAGGGTCCTAGTACTTCTAATCCACTGTAAGAACAGAGCACAGAGGCCAGGCTTATAAGTCAAAGAGCATGGTGGTCCTACTGGTGGAAGCAGGGCATGGGCAGACAGGACTCTGGTGTAACAGCAGTGTTTTTAACACAAACAGAGCCACAAGCATGGGTGCTAAAGTGGGAAATGGGGCTCATAATGAGCACCCCTGTCCCAGGACTGTGGGTACTAGAACCCCAGCACCTGCTCTGTCTTTCCATTGCCTAGCAACTGAATTCGAGGAAAATTCTTCCCCTTTCAGCAGCAGGAGATGATTTCCCAGGCCTATCCTCTGTTCATAGAAGGTAGATGACAGGGATTATTTCCACAGCCACAGCAGCAAGCAGCAGCTCCTCAGCTCTCCAGTTCTCTGCCCTTATGATCAGACTCCCTCTGCCCTTCTCTCCCATCTCAGTACAGGTCAGCCTTCCAGGAGAAGCAGAGAATTGTGACAGACAAAAAAAGCTAATACAATGTTATGTATGTACAAATGTCTATCCCACCACACCCCTGGCTGCCATGTTAGTCATTCATTAGCTCAAATTTCCACATCCACTGAGAGGCCTGGCCCTGGAGCAGGTACTCTGTAAGCAGTGGTATGTGAAAGACTACCCCAGCTCTGATAAAGCTTTCTGGTGACGAGGCGTGGCCAGAGAAGAGACTGAAGTTACACCCAACTACAGAAGCCATGGTGTGACAGCCCATTTCAGGAATCAATCAGCTCTGCTGAAGATTGGAGATTCACAAACTATTGCCCAAAGAGGCTCGCTGCTAAGGAAAAGGCAGAGACAACAACAGGCCAAAACTTTTAAATGGCCTGGCATATAAAAGACACCCTATATGCTCTTTCGTTGATCAGTTGTAATGAACAAATCAAGGAAAAAAAGCCCTCTTTGGGCAAATCAAACAGCCCACTACGCTTGGAATCTCTGCTTTCTTTTCAATGCGCACAACACGTGCATAGGAAGAAACCCATATGACAAGTAGTTCTACCAGGTAGTGCTCTAAGCTCAGCAAGACTCAGCAGAGCAGAGACAAGTAGAACAGGAAAACCCAGGTTTGCTGAGAGCCCTCAGGCTTCACTTCTTACCCTTACCAGGGCAGCCACAGACTTAGTGTGCCTCCAACATATGACGGAGGTAGAGGAGAAAACAGATTTCTGGGCATAAAGAAACGTCTCACAGTCCATGTGTCCCACATGTGTTCTGACCTAATTACCTCAATATAGGACTCTTTCCTACTTTCTGTTCCTCTCCCAGGCCAGACATCTCACAGCAGAGCAAGACAACTGATTCTTGTATGAGACAATGGGTACTCCAGGTACTCCAGGGAGAGCATAGTAGGCACTACAGTCAAGCAAGAAGAAATGCTGAGAAAGAGGGCCATGATACAGATAAACGGGAAATCAGCTTATCAAGCATTTTGGATTGTTGCAGGAAGACCTGTAAAAAACAAAACAAACAAACAAACAAAAAACACTAAAACATGCTACAACCAAATCTTGCTACAGAGACCATCCATTATGAAAGTTAAATTTGTTTCCAAAAGGCTCAGAAAGAGACCATCCCTCACTTACCTCAAATTTCCAAATCCTCAAATAGTCCAGCTTTTGTTTATAAACAGATGATTCTCAGCATCCTTCTGGAATGCTTAACGGGTACGCTAGAAAATTCAAGAAAAAGAGAAAGACTTATTAATATCAATGATGAATGGATTTGATAAGATGTTTCATTCATTTAAAAAATACAAACAAAGAACTGGCAAAATGCCTCAGTGGTAAAGATACTTGTCACCAAACCAGACAACTTGAGTTCAATGACACAGCCCACATGGTAGAAGGAGAGAGTTAACTCTGATGGGTTATTCTCTGACCTCTGTGTACAAGCCTACAAACATAGAAACACAGGTACATACACACACAAAATAAAGATGGGTTGATTGATTAAATAAATAGATCAACATGCAAATTAAATAAATAGAATAGAATTGTTTTTAAAAAGAAAGAAAGAGCCAAGTATCGTAGCACAGGCATGAAATCTCAGCGCTTGTGGAGGCAGAGGCAGGTGGATCTCTGTGAGTTTGAGGCCAATTTGGTCTAGAAAGAGAGTACAGGACAGCCAAGGCTACACAGAGAAACACTGTCTCAAAAAAGAGAGAGAGAAAAGAAAAGAAAAGAAAAGAAAAGAAAAGGAAAGAAAAGAAAAGAAAAGGAAGGAAAAGAAAGGAAGGAAGGAAGGAAGGAAGGAAGGAAGGAAAGAAAGAAAGAAAGAAAGAAAGAAAGAAAGAAAGAAAGAAAGAAAGAAAGAAAGAAAGAAAGAAAGAAAGAAAGAAAGAAAGAAAGAAAAAGGAAGGAAAAGAAGCTAGGCCAACTGTGCTAGCAAGAGCCTGTGATCCTATACTTGGGAGTGAAAGTTAGAAGGATATCTATGAGTTCAAGGTTAGCCATATGTTGTATCCAGCCAGTGCCACATAGCAAGATTCAGTCTGGAAAAAAAATAACAAAATGAGAAGCACAGGGGAAAAAAGTTATTTACTGACCAATTCTTGTTTTTGTTGTTGTTGTCTGTTTGTTATTTGGTTTTTGGTTTTTTTTTTTTTTTTATTTGAGCATCTATTAGGGTGGGCATACATATGCATGCATACATAAATACATATGGTCAGAGGAGAGTTTGCAGGAGTCAGTTCTCTCTTTCTACCTTGTAGGTTCTAGGGGATCACACTCAGGTCATAACGCTTAGCAACGGCCATCTTTGCCACTGAGCCATTTTGAACACTCCCCTTTAAAAAAAAAAATGCAATTATTGGCGAGCAATTCTTCTGTGCCAAGATTTGTGTTAGACATTTTATCCCTATTTTGGTCTCTTTGTGTTCCTAAGTCATTCAGGCAACAAGGCCACAGCTGATGG